AGTTGTCTTTTATACAGCCTGTTAAATGGGGCCTGTTGTTTTATAGTGGATTAAAAGTTTTTGCTTTGGGTTCCAAAACAAGCAAATGAAGTTGAAATCAAGGCCATACAAATCTCTGCTTCCACCTACCTGCATGACCAATTGGGGTAAAGTCCCAGAGAGTTAGTGATGTACCACAGGATATCCAAGTAGAAGCTAAGAAAGTGCTTGCTGTTTTCTCTTCCTATACCCCAGAAAACTGTGGACTCACTAATAAGCAATTTCTCTGATTTCCCACTGGTAGAGATTTTATTCTATCCAGGAATAACTTCTTTCTTTTTTTCTTTCTAAAGATTTATTTATGCATACAAGAACTGGGGTACAGGCCAGAAGTGTGGGGGGTGAGAGGATGCACCAGAGACAGAGTGGGGAGCAGAACAGGCAGACTGACGGAAATACACTGCTGAGGGGAGCAGTGGGCGAGACCCAAGAGGTTTGCTGTGCCATGTGGGTAGCTCCCTCGTGGGGGATCAAACTTGTGCTGCAGTGGCTGTGGATAGCTTCATAGGTTGCGTCTTAACCCCTTGTGCCACCAGGGAGGACCAGGAATAACTTCTTGAATAAAGTATGTAAATAAAGTATGTACAAATAGCCTTTCTTTGATGAGAACTTCAGGGAACTTTCTTATTCCAGGAAAGAATGGGGACACCCTCCCACTCTCTAAAGATGCAGATCATTTACTACACCTGAAGACAAAGGTAAGGAAGCTTAACTGCATTCAGGCTCTGAAATCCACAATACATTTCTCTGAATTTTGTGTTTTACTTAGTTGACTTCATAAATTGTAAAGTCTAAAATTATTTGAATGAAGTATTATGTCACCAGAACTAAGTTTCCTGTGATTATAGGTCGAACATGCAAAATGTATTGGGTGAATGAATGCAGGAAATTGGCTTTTTTACTTTTGATATTATGAAGATAACATGTATTTTAAAAAACTGAAATGGCACATAAGAGTATGTAGTATATGCAGTAGTATACACAGAACAGAAAATCAGTGTTCCAAGTCACCTGAACCCCAAAGCTTTTCTGCATCATGTGCCTCCCTGTTCAGGTTTCTAAAACTCAGGCTAAGGAAGAAGCTATCTGTGAGGTACTCAAAGGTCAGTTCACAGTGTTAGTAGACCTATGTTCTTGGTTTTTGACATCAAAGCCATACGTCTAAGTGCTCTCTGTCTGAGGGACTCCCAGGTACCCACAGCATGTGAGCATGAGGATTACATTGTAGGTATTTGTGGATGTGTCCAGCGTGGCAGTAGCTTGAAGATTCATGTCATGGTGAACCTCATCCTATGAAGTTTTCTTGAACATGCATCCTGATTCTTACCATTGTCAGGGTCCCGAGAACATTATTTGCAGCTGTATCTCCCCGTGTGGAAGTTGGATAGCCTATTCTACAGCTTCTCGGTTCTTTCTCTATCGCCTGAATTATGAACATGACAACATAAGTCTCCAAAGAGTAAGTGTTACTGCAGTGTCAAGTAAAATTTGGAAAGTTCATATGTATGTGGTTTTTGTATGAAGTGGAAATGTAGTTGATCATCCTGGCTCAGTGAAAATCTATTTGGAGACAGATTACAAAACCACCTTTTACTTTCAGTTTTTGATTTGATTGTTTTTAAAGGAGTAGAGAAATGCCAGAAAGTGGCAGTAAAGTTTAGGCTTTTGAAGAGCTGAGAGGGAGGAGGGGGTGATAGGTTATAATAGGCATGTCAGTGTTCCAGGCCTTTATAAGTTGTCTTCCTTAGAGACTGGAAGCATTAATGTAATTTAAGCCTGGTGGTAATTATTCTTGATGGGCTTTGTCATTTCTCTCTCTCACTGGTTCTTACTACTGATTCATCCCAAGGTTTCCAAGATGCCAGCCTTCCTTTGCTCTGCCCTTCAAATTTTGTTTTCTGAAGATTCAACAAAACTCTTCGTGGCCTCAAATCTAGGGTCTCTGCATGTTATCCGACTGTTGGAAGGGAACTTCAAGCACCTGCATACTTTCCAGCCTCAGGCAGGTGGGAATTTGGTACTGGCCATGGGAGAGAGTTATCAGTCTGTGATGTATCTTCTTTTTTTCTTTTTAAAACTCATTTATTGTTGGAGGTTTCCTAATGCTCTTCTCCATCCTGCAAGTACACACTCACATGTTTGCAATTTAAAGTAGGAGGAGATACCTGGCAAATAAAAACACTTGATGAGATCTGAAATGTTCCTCACACCTACTCTTTTCTCACTGGGTTTTTGATTCCTTATTTGGGACCAGAGAAGTTTCATCATCCTTCTTAGAGTTTTGTTAGCAGAACAAGAAGAAAGTTAAAATCGTCTGTGATTCTGATGCCCAGAAATAACTACCACTAATATTTTTGTGTATCTCCAATGTGTGTTTCCAAGCAGGTATTTTGTGTACATGTTAGTTTTTTGTCAAACTGGTTTCTTCACAGCCTTCAAATCTGTGTATTTCAGTCTTGGTCTTTTGGTCTTTTAGCTCACACTCTTCTCCAGCTTCCTCTACCCACCTCACCCAATCCTTTGGTGTCTGACTTATGTCTTATAATAAAGGCTTTTCATCATTTGGACTGTATATGCAGCACATACTTTAGCATATAGCATCACTGTCTGATTTTTATCCCTCATGAATCTTCATATTGCCAAATTGGTTTAAAGTCCTTTGATGACAAGGGTGGCTCATGTTCCTGTTCTCCCTTTGTGCTAAATATACAGTAGGCACCCACTAAATCTGCTTTACTTTTTTTTAAAAAAAAGATTTGCTTATTTTTGTATAGAAGAACTGGGGTGTAAGCCAAAAAAGGGAGCATGTGAAAGGATTCACCACAGACAGAGAGGGGAGCAGAAGAGGCATATTTACCGAAATACATTGCTAAGGGGAGCAGCGGGCAAGACAGGAAAGATCTGTTGCACTGTATGTGGGTTAGCTCCCTGGCCAGGGATCAAACTCAGGCCATAGTGGTGATAGCACTGAGTCTTAACCTCTGGGCCACCAGGGAGGTCCTTAAATCTACCTTAGTTCTGTTGATTTTTTTCCCCCTCAACTTCAATTAAAACTATTTGATAGAGGGCCTCCCCGGTGGCGCAGCGGTTGAGCGCTGGGTTGCGAAGCTGCCCGCAGCCTCTGCGACGCTGGTTCGATCCCCGGCTGCTCCCCGGCCACCAGAGGAGGGTCCCACATGGCGCGCAGACCTCTCCTGCCGCCCGCTGCTCCCCTCAGCAGTGTACGTCGGTCCTTCTGCCTGCTCTGCTCCCTGCTCTGGCTCTGGTGAATTCTCTCACCCTCCCGCGCTTCTGACTATACCCAGTGCATGTATGAACAAAACAAACAAACAAACAAATAAATAAATAAACATGCCTCTATTAAAAAAAAAAAAAAACTATTTGATAGAAAGGAGTTTGAAAAAATTAAAATACAGATTTTAGTAGTAGATGCTCCCTGGTTCTCTGTTCCCATTGGAGGCAATATCTAACTTAGGCTGAGTAGCTGATACCTTCAGGTTTATCTCTCTGGTTCCTTTTTACTGAAGGATGGCTAATTAAATGAAAATAGTAGACAGATTGACATCCAGAACATATTTTCAGAATGATCAAGAAATTATCCTGTCAGTAAAACTCTGCCAGTTTTAATGACTTTCGCAGTTACCTTCAAGGAGGAGCTGACTGTGTGTGGATGGATACTGAATTCAGACTTAACTGTTACTCTGTCCTCACAGGGACAGTGGAGTCCATGTGTCTTTTGGCAGTCAGTCCAGATGGAAATTGGCTAGCCGCGTCAGGCACCAGTGCTGGGGTCCATGTGTACAACCTCAAACATCTAAAGGTGAGTGTAGAGTTTGGTAGCAGCAAGTGGGAGGAAGTTAAACCCCCCCCCCCCATTTATAAGATTCAAGAAAACTTGGTATGATGTGGAAATCTACTGAACTGCTTTTTTATTTGCCAAGAATTTTACATGTTTTACTTGTTTGGTCCCCCAAAGCTATGACCTGTAACTTAGAATCAGTCATTGAGAACAATAAAACCACTCATGCACAAGAATTTGGAATTAAGAATTTGTGGGAGAGGAATATATATGTAGGTTATTTATGTACTTGGAGAGGAAAAATTTTGATTTTTCTAGATGAATAGTTGCAGATAACAATTTCCTTTAATAGAACACCTTGTGATCTCAAGGTATTTTTAAATTAAACAGAATCGGAAATTTGAAAAAGGAATAGCAGGAAAGCATTTTTCACTGTTCAGTGATGATACTGTCATTCACTCATTGAATTGCTAATGGTCCCTTGCAAGTTCTCTTTATAAAAATTATATGTTAACTACATAAAACTTAAAGCACTAAATACCAACCTGCAATATTTAATAAGTTCACCCATTAATTACCTAGCTTAATCTTTGTTAGATTGTGGCCAGAGCTCTACTGCTATTGGAGCCTTGCCTGGAGTCTTTAAAGAGTTCCTGTGTAATGGTGCACATGCCTTGCAATACATGAATGTCTATTCCTGGGTATCAATTTCTTATAAACCTAGTGTAGAACTATATATTCTCTATTCACTGGTGTGTTTATGAGCAATTCATATATATATAAGTTAAACAAGGTTTTTGGCTTTTTCTTTTCTTTCTTTTTTTTTTTTTAATTTAAATCTGAGTTAATTTTCTGGGGAAATACCTGATGTGTATAGAAACTTCGTTAAAAACCTTTGAGTTGTAAGGAATACTATTTAAAAACAACAGCTCCTGACCATCCAGTCTTTCCTGAGGGAGGCTACCATGGAGATGTCTCATCTGTCTGTTGTTTGTTCCCAGCTCCACTGCACAGTGCCTGCTTACAATTTCCCTGTGACTGCTCTGGCCATTGCCCCCAAAACCAACAACCTTGTCATTGCTCATTCTGATCAGCAGGTAAGAGATTCCAGTGCTTTCTCATTCCTTCCTGCTGAATAGGACATAGAAGCTAAAATCATGACAAATTGGGGGTTGCTTTTCTTTGAAATTGGATGGTATAAAGGTGGTTTTCTCCTGTTTGTGAAATAAAGCTTCTGGGTAGAACCTGGGCTCACTGTAGACTTAATGGGGTGCAGTGGAATGGGGAAGCCCTGAGTTTTCTAGAGTAAAGAGGTGCAAGGAGGATAAGGAATTTTGAAGCATCCATTTTACTGATTGTGTTAGAGTAGAGATGACATGGGTTCAACTGGACATGGGATGGATCATGATTTTAAGAGTTCAAAAGTGACTAAAAGATCATGTAATTTGCTTTCACTTTTCCGGGTGAAGAAATCAGTTCATAGTGAAATCAAGTAGCTAATATCAGCCCAGATTAGAGACAAGTCTGCTGTTTTTCCATATTATGTGGTAAAGAGAAGATTATTTAATAAGAAGATATTTAAAATACCTGTGCTATAGAACTCACTGTGTTGTCACTACTTGTCCTTTATAAAATAGGCATAGTACCTTCCTTACTGAGGTGCTGGAAGTATTAAATGTGATCTGGGAAGACCATTTAAGTAGACTGAAGACAATTGAGGCTTGCTACTTTTACTAGCACTTTCTACACCCACATATGTATACATGCATGTGCACACACGTTCTAACCCCAAAATGAAATCTCTTCTATCAGCTTCATGGATTTGTGTCCTTGACCAAAGCGTGACGGATAAGTGAGACCATGTACTTGTCTGTGTCACACATTATGTCCACTAAGCACACTAAAGAAGCAGATCATGGTGTATCTGTAAAGTGAGTGGATTATTATGTGTTCTTAAGAGGAGGCATGAGTGGTCTGTATATTGTTATGGGTCAGCCTGCAATATAATGCTAGAAGGAAGAACAACATATAGAACAGAGTACATTATATATGTAAAATATCCCAGAGTAGATGTAAATAAGAAATAGCATCCTGCTTTTGTTTTAAAGAAGAGATATGCCAAGATTGCAGGTGATTTTTCACTGTAACCCTTTCTATACTGTTTGAATTTTTTGTTATTCTGTAATGTACCTTAATTTTTTTTTTTTTTTTTTTTCAATTTAAAAGAGTAGTGGGAAAGTCTAATGCTCTCTATGATGGAGTCAAGGTGTATATAGATATTTTCTGGTTAGGAATGAGGATTACCCTTTGCTCTTTCTGTAACAGTGTACTTTTGTATCATACCCATCTTTTGTATCATACCCATCCTCAGGTATTTGAGTACAGCATCCCAGACAAACAGTATACAGAGTGGAGCAGGACCATCCAGAAGCAGGGTTTTCATTACCTTTGGCTCCAAAGGGATACTCCCATCACACACATCAGTTTTCATCCCAAGAGACCAATGCACATCCTTCTCCACGATGCCTACATGTTCTGCATCATCGATAAGTCATTGGTGAGTTCTTTACCTGCCCCCTTTGCTCTCCCTGGATCTTTACTTAGGTAGCTTCAAATTCTTTTTTTTTTTTTTTTTAATACAATAGCTGGGGTACAGGCCAGAGGCACGGGAGGGTGAGAGGATTCACTAGAGACAGAGTGGGGAGCAGAAAAGGCAGACAGACAAGAAGCACTGCTGAGTGGAGCAGCGGGCGTGACAGGAGAGGTCTGCTGCGCCATGTGGGAATCTGCCCGGCCGGCCAGGAATCGAACCGGCACTGCAGAGGCTGCGGACAATTTCACAGTGCTACGCTCAACCCACTGCGCCACCAGGGAGGCCCAGGTAGCTTCAAATTCTAAAAGCAGCAAGGGTAGTAATTTAGAGGGAAGAAAATCGGAATTCGAGATTCCTTTCTGTTGGAGGAGAGGAGCTTCTGTTCTTCTAATTTCCTCATTTTCATTCCACTGCTCAGGAGGCTCCCAGACACTGAGCAGGCCTTTTGTGTACCGTTTTTTGCCAATTTGACTGTTTCTCTGCTTTGCCTGTGAGTACATAAACTTAAGTAGGAAATGCAATTAGGTCAGTAGTCAGAAGGTGACCCTCACTGGAACATGCCATTGCTTTGGGTAGGTCATTTCCACCTTGCACCCTGGGTTGACTGAATAACTCGGTTTCATTAAAGGAGATGCGGGTTGAAGTTTCATCCACTGTGCTCCTTGGCTGAATGTACTACAACATTTTACACACTTGAAGGTTTGGTGTTACTTTCTTAAAAACAGACCAGCTAGGAAAATTCCATTCTTCATAGCTGTGATTTAGGTAGGATGTGAGCATTTTCTTTTTCAGTTCTAGATTCCAACCTCTACCAGGTGTTGCTTTAATTCATCCCAAATTTGCATGTCATTTTTGGATGAGCACTTTCTTTTCTAGGAGCGCTGTGAGCTGTGGCCCTGCCTGTAATGTACTTTAGGCTTAGATTTACAATCAACACCCAGTGTTTTGGTGTATCTGTGGAAGTGGGGGTGGAAGGGACATGGGAAAGCAGCAGATGGTCCTAAAGGAGCTGTGCATGGTGATATGTCACTGGAACTACTGTCATGGGCCCTGTGTTCTCTGGGCGTGGGAAGCAGAGCTGGCTGGCACGTATCTTCTGTGAGATGAGTGATACAGGAAGGGCCCCTCCCACTTGCTTGCCTCTTTGTAACTCAGCCCAGATCAGCCCATATTTTTTCCCAAGTGTTGGTGATAAGTCCATCACTTCCTCATGCTGGGCAGAGCTATTTCCCAAGGAAGTCAGATATGAAATATCACTTGCTTGGCCGGAGGCCATCTCTCAAGGTGTCAGTGACATCAGAGGGGGTGGCTTCTGTTGCAGTTTTGCCTGGGGAGAACTTCAGTCACTTGACCCTGTCTGCAGGGTGCATGGGGAGAATCTAGAAAGCAGAGCCTGCATAGGCTGAGCTCTTGCACATGCCAGTTTGTTTCTTTCTGACAAGTGTTACTGACAAGACTGGCCAGAAGCCCCAGCTGGGCCTTTTGATCTTGCTAGCCTGGAATACCATACTCTCTTTCGCCTCAAACTCCCACCCTCTGCAATCAAGTTGGAAAGTGGCTTTGGTTCTCTTCCTGAAATGAGAATTGGGAACATAGTAAATATATAAAACATTGGATGGAATTAAAAATCACCATAGTTTTTTGGTCTGTAAGCAGCCATAGCAAAATAACAATTTAAACAATATGTCTTGTCTTTTTAGCCTCTTCCAAATGACAAAACCTTACTCTACAATCCAGTTCCTCCCACAAATGAATCAGATGTCATCAGGAGACGCACAGCCCATGCCTTTAAAATTTCTAAGATATATAAGGTACATCTTGTGTAATGTGCTAAGCTGTTAGTTCTTTGTCACAATAGGAAATTAAGAGCACCTTTGTTTTATATGCAGAGAACTTAGGCTGTGAGTTTCTTACGTCTGTAATTATTGTTTTGCCTCAGTATATTAGAGACAGGTACATCATACTCAACCAAAATGAAATGTATACGTAGTGAGCAATGATGTTGGCCCTGACGTGGGGTCTTGTGTTAAAGCTGGTCTTTAAATTTGATTTCTAATTGGAGAATGTTTCATTTGACAAATTTCAAGCAAATGGCAGTTATTAAATTTATGACTTTCCTTCTGGGCTAGGACTTTTACTGTATGTGAATCAAATATCCATAGCACTGATGATACTGTGGCTATTTGTGCCAACACAGAAGTTCCGTATTTATGCTTCTTAGATTGGACTTCCTTAAGGGTCCTACAGCATCTGATGAAAAGTCTATAAAAATGTCTTTTTAGGAGGGGAGTGTATAAATATGCAAGGCTGATTTATTTCTTGATGCACTTGTAACTTTCCATTTGTCAAGAATTTAGGTTCCATAGCCCTCTGTTAACATTGATTCCTGAGAAATTAGAGAATCATAGATTGTCGATACAGAGAAATAAAGATGCTCGCCTGCTGAAATTTTTTATGCATGAACTCAGTTAAAAATTCCCAATCTTTCCTCCCATTTTGAGTCCTAGGGCAGGGAAGATTGTCAGATTTAGATCCCTCTAGCCTTGAACTGGGCTCACATTTTAACTCTAGTCAGTCTGTTGAGGGCTAGTCCTGGAGCCTAACTCCTGGTAGAATCATTATCATCTCTCTACAGCCTCTACTCTTCATGGATCTTTTGGATGAAAGAACTCTGGTGGCAGTAGAACGGTCCCTGGATGACATCATTGCTCAGCTCCCACCTCCCATCAAAAAGAAGAAATTTGGGACCTAAAACGGGGCACTGTCTCTGTCCTTCCTTGAACTATCTACCCTGTTTGTTTTCACAAATCATGATAATAAAACAAAGTTATTCTTTAGGACTAGTCATCGTAAGTGTTATCTTCCAAAATAATGGGCAGTAATTTCCCTTCAATGAGTGAAAGTGACTGGAAACTCCAGTGTCTTTGTAGTTAGGATAATGTTCCAAGTAGCTTCGAACTTTGTCAGAGTCCTGTTTTTTCTTTAGACCACAATCTCAGGAAACAAAGATCATAGTTACCTTCCATGCCTTAAGTCCTGCCCGAGGTTTCAGAGAGCTAATGACTTTCCCCATTTGCCAGCCTATATCCTGAGCCCCTGGGAAGGCATAGAGACTTGCCAAGCATTGCCCTCAATGGCAGGGGAACTATGCTAGCTTCCTCAAGACGCCTAACCACCAAGAGTGATATCACTCGTTTCAAGGAAGAATTTTAACTATAGCACTGATTGATTTAAAAGAAAAAAATCAGGTTTTGGAAATCAGTCCCATTAAATAAGTATTCTTTTAACCTGTTATGTACCAGTTCCAAAGGGTAAAGAAATATGGGCAGGGTTTTGTGACAACATTGGAGTGGAAGTTAAGGAGTTGGAGCGGAAGTGGAACCCAGAAAACCTGCCATATATTTCACCCTTTCCGTCCTCCTATTGGCTTTGACATTATTGTTCCCATGGGTGTTATCAGCTGCCCGGTTTTAATGTGATCTTTTAAATTAGAAAGTGAAGAACTCTATTTAACCTGAACTGAGCAGATAGATTTCTTTCCCATCTTAGTGGGTGTATTCTGTTGCCTGCCTGTGGAAACTCAGTATGTGTGGCTTTGTTTGTTTTGGGATAGAGGGCTGTGGTAGAGGCAGAGGTATGTAAGTTCTAATGACATCATGAGAAAAGTTCTGGTGAAAAATATTTTTGCTAATAAGAACCTCATCCTTCAGTCTGGAAAGGGAAAATAAATGTGAGAACTTAAAGTAGACATGTAGGAGAACGGAAGGAAGTAATCAGAGAGATTAAGCAAAGCCCAATGCTTCATAAAATAAAGGATAACCTATTTAAGATTTGCAAAGAGGGAACAGACACAAGGTTTATAATGGATACTTCTCAGCCCCTTAGGTGATGGGAGTCATTCTGTGTAAAATAATTTTCTTCTCACATGAATAAATTTCCCTAGTGAGGTAGGTATATTCTCCGAGTCTACAAGACTGAATGGTTACCAGCTTTCAGCAGAACATAAGATCCTATCCTTCCTAAGAAATATTTCAGATTCTCTTTTGTGTGGTTGAAACCAAAGTTCAAGTCACCAATCCACACTGAACATGACCAGAGGGAGACTAGGATGCCTTAAATATTAACTCGTTCACTCTTCACTGACTGTGGTGAACATTTATTAACTAGAGGACTTGATTTACTTAAATGTATTCTAAAACCTTGTGGCTTGCACAGAGTCTAATTCTCACAGGGCTCACAGATCATCAGAGTGAAGAAGTAAAATTTGAGAAAATCTCATTCCTTTGTAATATTTCAGCCAATGATTTGGACTTCCATAAATGGTATGGGAAGAGCGAGCTTTGGACCTTGAAATTCTTCCTAAGTAGAGAACTTTGACTACAAATGAAGCAGAAACTGATAGGGCAAATTAGAACATTGGGGGAAGGGGAAGGAAGGAAGGCAAATGAGTGTTAAATAGAACACTTTAGTGCCTCTGTTTCAGGGTGATTTTTCTTTTGGGATTTTGTGACCTAGACACATTGTGTTTCTGTTTCAGACATTTTTGCCAACTGCTGCTCATATTTGGGTTTTACCAAAAATTTTTGAACTGAGACCAACTCAGGAAAGGTCTTTTTTGCTGGCCTGACTCAAATATTTTAAAAATTCACTTTTTTCACATAGTAGTTAGTAATCTGAGCTTTGGACTGGATAGCACACCCTTTGCCATATAGATTACTGTAAATGAGACTAAGGAAAATGAAAATATTGGAATGTTGGAAGAGATAGACTATCTACTTTGCCTTTTATTTTTTTTTATGCTTTGTTTTTAAGTATGAAAGTACTTTCTTCAAATGGAACTTTATTCTGATCTGCAATTCATGATACAGGTAAGGAGCTGTTCTGAGTTTGGGGATCAGAAAGAAGCAGGTTTTTCTGAGAAAAAGAAAAAAACCCATGTGTCTTTTGGCTTCATTATATGCATGTAAATGGAAAACAAGAGAAGAGGCCATTTTCTCCATGGTTACACAATGATTGGGGGCCAAGGTTATTCCCCCTTGTCTCTTGGTTGTACAGATCCAAGCGTGGAAATATAATGATTAGCAAGCATGGTATACACAGGGATTTTCCATTTCTCATACTGCAGGGAATGTGTGTAAGCATTTCTTGCTCCAGACAAGTGCTTGATTAAGCTATAATATAGAGTTCTGTGGGCAGTCTGTGTGTAAGCTGTGCAGTGTTGTCATGAACAACCTCTACTTTGTTACACTCACATGCGGTCTAGGGGTCATCCTGAGAGTGGAATTGCTAGCTCATATTGGGCCCATTTTCTTTCACTTTCAGTTGCCCTTTGAAGTGGCTGAGTTTCTGTTAGCAGCATCAATTCCATTGTAAGTACTCATTTCCTTGCACCTTGCCAATGTATTTATTGATGGACTTTAGCCTACCTAGTGGGTGAAAAGTATTTTATTTTGTGTTTCCCTATTTAATAATGAGATTGCTTATGTCTGTATGTTTTGGCTGTTTGGCCAATCGTGTCAATTGCATGTTCTTACCCTCTTCTAGTTTCTTTTTGTGATCTTTATTATTTGCTTATCGTCTTCTGTTTTTCTAAATATGTTGTCTTTTTCATACTTCAAGATGTTTTATGACATAGACCAGCATTGTCCAGTAAATTATCTGTGGTGGTGACAATGTTCTGTATCTCTGCTGTACACTAAGATAGTTACTAGCCACCTTGAGCTAGTATTGAGTTAGTGTGACAAAGGAACTGAATTTTTAATTAAATGTTAATTTAAGTAGTCATGTGACTGGTGGCTTATATTGCACAGTACAGATATAGCCCTTTGTTTTAAGGTAATTATAGAACTCAATACTCACTTAACTTGCATTTATTATGCAGCAACAGCAGGTGAAAGATGATCTCAGCCCTCATGAAGCTCACAGCCTAGTTGGGGAGAAAAGCCAAGGGATCAATGATGGTACATTAGAAATGAATCTAGAGAAGGGACACCTAACTAGTAGGGTTAGGAGATGATCCTTGAGCTCATAACTCTTAGAATTGGGTGGTAATTAGCAATAAGGCATTTCTGGAACATTCTCAGTGCAAAGGAAAGAGCACAGCCTATCCAAGGGACTGCCAGTAGATCATATGGTTAAAACACAGGAATTCTTGTAAATGGAGGAAAATGAGGCTAGAAGGGCAGGCAGAGCCCCACCATGGCATGCATATCTCACTCATGGCCACTGGAGGGGGACAGCTTCCCTAGTTGGTAACAAGTAGGAACAGGTGAGGTTCTTGGATGAGGCTAGAGGAGCAGTTTCTAGAGGAAAATGAGTGGAGAAGCTAAAATTTGAATACAAAGCCCGTAAACTAATGGGGTGGTGACGATTAAGACCAGGTACAAATGGGCCTTGAAGAGTGGGGTTAACACTTTTCTTCCAATGAAAAACAGTTGCAAATCACCAAGGTTCAAAGGGATCACGCAGTGAAAATGTACATTTGTATACATAAACAGAAGGGCTGAAATTAGGGAGGCAAAGAACAGACTTTTGTAGAGGTTCTAGTCTTGGAGTCTATATTGGTTCATGGTTAGCCTGATAGTATCACAGACTGGGTGAGTTAAGTAGTAGAAATTTATTTTCTCCCGAGTGGAGGTTAGAAGTTCAACATCAAGGTATTGGCAGGGTAGGTTTCTTCTGAGGCCTCTCTCCTTTGTAGAGGATCACCTTCTCCCTATCTTTACATGGTCTCCCCTATGTGGGTGGCTGTGTCATTTTTACTTTATTACCTCGTTAAAGACCCTGTCTGCAAATACAGTCATATTCTGAGATACTGTGGGTTAGGACTTCAACCTGTAAGTTGTTGGAAGGGCTGCAGGGGGCTCTTCTTGAGACCTCAAGTTTGAATGCTGAATTCCACAGAAGTGTGTATTTGCCTGAGGCATGTCCAAAGTCGGCAACTGGTTCTTAAAGTGGTCCATTGATCCCCACCAAGTGGCTGTGACATTAACCATCTTAGGAAGGAGTTTAAAGACAAAGGCCTAAAAAAATTCCGCAGGCATTGATAAACTTGAGTTGGTGTTCAATGAGAGCTTAGGCTGACTATAATGCTCAAGTTTTATTGTGAGGCACTGGAAATGCTATAAGAACTAGTACTGGGGGAAAGTGGGTCTTTATTTTTGGACCTTATTTTAATTTCATGGCAAATTACGTAATTTCCACAAGTGTCAATAAAAGACACTGGTGATTTTCCATAACTAAGTGGATTCAATAAAACTAACCTTCTGCTTAGTATGTCCTTGCTAATATTTTCCTAAAAAGAAAGTCACAGAGCTACAAAACTGTCACCAGCTGCTTCTCATTAGGAATGTGGTTAGCAGATGTGGGTTTTCATAGTCATAACACATGAGATAGTTAATCCATTTTTGTGGGTTTCAGATGGAGAGTGATTTATCTTGGCGGGATGAATTTTAAAATGTGCTTGCATCAGCTAAAGGATTTATGCACCTTTCCCTCTTTTACTTCATGTTTCTGCTGGAGGGAAAAAAAATACATTTTAGGATACTTGTCCCAGAGGTAAAGTGCTCTTGTCCATTGAAAGAGACAATTGATTGCACTGTCTTCTAACTGGGGAAGAGTTTTGCATGGGTAATTTTTCAAAGTTGGATGTTGGTTATCTTACCAGCTTATTTCTCCCTTTTGGCCTCCTCTTTAGTTGTAATTGAGCAGCTCTGGCTTTTTTTCCTCTGGATTCAGGCTGCCTTTGTGGTAGTGACCTTCAGGCTTGCTAAGGGCTGCAGTTTTGCCTGGGGCTCTCCTTCCTTATGAAATTACACAACACTCAAACCTTGGAACCAGCCCCAGATCCACTAATTCTTTCCTTTGACGGACTCTTGGCAATATGTACTCCCTTTCAGCCAAAGTGTAGTTTTATACAAGATCTGTTTGTCACCGAAATTAATTTGGCCATTTGCCCTTTTAAAGCCTGGAATCAAATGGTATTGTGGCAGATGCATTCCTAGATACAATATAGGCTCTCAGCAGCAGAGCTGCTACCAAAGGTTTTATTGCTGCTGCTGAAGGTCAACAGGTAATAATAACAGCAGGTACTTTTTTTATAGAATTCTTAGTGAGGCAGCCAGGGTGCTTTGCATACATCATCTCAGTCAACCCTTATAACAACACATGTAGAAGATAGAATTTTTCTGAAGGCCCATGTCCAGTCCCTTGGCCATTGTCATACCAGCTATTAAGTGGCCCAACCATGATTTGAACCTTGTGCTCTTAATTACGCTATAGTATACATCTACTAAAAGGAATAATAAGAAAACACCACTGGATTTTGAGAGAGCAGAAACTCAGAGCCTAAGACATACAATTGTAGGAAATGATGGAACTGAGAACTAATCCAACCACATTTTATTTTTATTTCACCTAAATATTTTTTTATTTTATTTTGCCTAGCATTTATATTTTCAAAATTATGTTTATTGAGGTAGTGGTTTATAACACTCTATGTTCTAGGGGTATAGGTTCACACCTCTGTAAATGTATGCTTTCATGTCAAACCCTCCACCAAAGCCCCAATAATCTTCAGCCATAGTCCACTGGGCCCCTTGCCTCCTTTTCTCCCACCCCCACCCCCAACCTTTCTTATAAGCCTCAGCCCTGTAGTCAGATTTCAAGGTCTAACCTCCTCATTTAATTTTATTTATTTATTTTAAGATTTCTTTATTTATGCATACAAGAGCTGGGGTGTAGGCCAGTGTGCGGGGGCTAGGAGGATTCACCAGAGATAGAGTGGGGAGCAGAACAGGCAGATCTATTGAAATACACTGCTGAGAAGAGCAGCAGGAAAGACAGGAGAAGTCTGTCTGCCTCGCCATGTGGGTTAGCTCCCTGGCTGGGGATCGAACTCATGCTGCAGTGGCTGCTGCAGCGGATAGCTTCATAGTGCTGAGACTTAACCCCTTGTGCCACCAGGGAGGCCCCTAACCTCCTCATTTTAAAGTAGCAATGATCCTACCTTGTTCTGAGAAATAGTAAACTAATAGCTTGAGCAGAAGAGAATACACACTGATAGGTCAAAGGAATGAAAGGTTATTAGGAATTATCTCAGCCATTTCCTGTCTCAGGGGTAGATAAAATAACTTGCCTGTTCAAAAAATTTTCTAAGCTTGTCTCACTGTCCCTAAGAAACCGTGGAAACAGATGTGGACTCTTTATTTCAGATTTCATTATCCACAGTAAGTAGATTTCCACTGAGTACTGCAGATCTCCTAGATGGTAATTTTCACTCTGCAAAGAACCAATAACCTTCAGAGGGATTATTTGAAATGACTACAGTGCAGGAGGCACTGAATTTCAATCAATCACATCTTTAATGAGTTCCTTCTCTGCCAGGCATTATTTTTGGAATAGTGGGAAGTAAAAAGAAGTCAATGGGTGGTCTCCACCCTCCTGTATTTTATAATTTATATGGGCAAACCAGCCAGGCATAAAATAAAATTGTTCAAAAGAAAAATTCCAGTGAATTGGACAGTCAGAGAAAACAGGGATGAGATCTTGCTAGATGGGAAAGTGGTAGAAAGTGGCAGGAGGTGATTGGGAGGAAGGACTGGTGGGAATACACAAGACATCTGTGGGAGACAGTGACAGGATGAGTTTAGCAGGTCTGAATGTAATGATCAAAGGATGTTGAAAATTAATTCAGTTTCTGATGGACATTGCAAAAAACAGCTCAATAGTTTAGGGGTATATTTCTTAAATTATTTATGTAAAGTCCCCCAAGCATTCTAAATACCAATCTCCATTACCATCTTCTCCCAGGGTTAAGTATTTTGTTACATAATTTGCTCTTATCTAAGTGCCTTCATTTACTACTTAGTTGGAAGACCTATGACTTCCTCCAACTCCACTAACCAAAAGATCTTATACTTTTGGGAAAAATGATCAGGGTTAGCACCTTTTGCAAAGAAAGGTGTCCTCAAGTGTTCATATCTGCACAATTATGTATGTAAAAGTGTTCCATTAAAATGTTCAGACTCTAAAAAATCAGCTGCCAAGTGCTCTCCAATAAGCAGAAATTTCACATAACTCAGGCCTCTGGGGGCTCACACCTCTGCTGGAATAAAGCCAGAAATGTCTGACTGCAGGTGCACTCGGGCACATCGGGGCCTGCCAGAACAGCAGGCTGGTCTCATTGCAGTTGATTTAGGAGAGAGAGGGTTGGAGGTTTGAGCTTCTGCTGACATTTGCAGCTTGGAAAAGCCTGCTCCACTGATTACAAAGAAAATTCTGCTATACGCTTGTTTTTTGTGTTTTGTTGGGGTTTTTTTTTTTTTTTTTTTTTTTTTTTTAATAAGCTACTTGTCTCTTTTCTAATTCTTTCTTCATTTCGGCTCTAAGTGCTTTCCAGTCTATTTTTATGGTTTTAACTCCTGTATTGGAGACTCTTTGGAAGTTTCTGCCCACACATGAGTATGTATTCAGAGTGGTGCATGGATATGTCTTACTAGCTTCAACATGTATTTCATGAGGAAGCAGGATACAGACCCTTTTACAGGAATTGGTACACACCCTCTGCTTGTGGTTCCTCCCCTCCCATGAAAATATGGGGGTTTCACTTTTAGTACTGAAGGAAAGTAGGAGGCACCTTGACCTCATGTTTTTTGTTGAAATCTCTCAGTGAAAGGTCTCAGGGTGATTTCTATATCACGCCCCTCCCCCATTTTAAAGATCTGCAGTATGTAGTCAAGAAAAAGCACTGGACCAGGAGGCTTCGAGACTCACTGCGGACTTTGGATCAGTATCTTTGGCTCTCTGGGCCTCAGTTTCCTTAGCTCTTTCAGTCCATGCAGCTGGAAAAAGCAGGTAGATTGCATCAATTCTCTTTGGATAAAAGCCATTGCAGGCTCTGCAGTATAGTAGTTTCTGGGGATGCTCCTCTACACTTACCCCAACTAAAGACCATGGCTTCCAGGGTGAGAGAGTCAGATCTACAGAGCCAAGGTCAAACTCTTCCATATTTGCTTATATGAGGTTTTTCACATTCATATCCTGTGTCGTCCCTAAGAAACTTGCATTCTGCCACTACGTTTGAGGCTTACCTGTGGTGGTTGCTGGAGGAGAAGAAGAAATGGTCCCTTTCTGCAGTACAGGTAATTAAACAGGTGATTACAGAGTTGCATGCTGCGACTATGCCTCTGGAGCTTTGCTCATGCAGTTACCTCATCAGTTATCACCTTACATTGCCAACTTCGTGAAGCTGACCCCATGCCCAACCAAATATTTCTTCTCTGCGCTCAGAGTATTTTCTACATGTTGCTTAACCACATAGCATCACAACAGATTGGTGGGTTCCCCGTTTCCCTCCTCTACTAGACCGCCAAGCGCTCAGCTGCGGTAGTTTATGCGCCTCATCTGCAGGCCTCAAAAAGAGCACACGCCTGTGCGCTCAGTAAATACCGAAGGAGCCCAGGGTTTGCATGAGGGAACGTGCAACCCCGTCTTGCAGGCTTGCCAAGTGCTTCTCTACGCTGATTTTGCTTTCCCTGCCTAGGCAGCTCCGGGAATTGCACGGTAGAGGTCAGGTGTTCGGGGCGGGGGGCGGGAGGGGGGGGCGCAAGTTGGAGCCTCACGCTGCCGAAGCTGCCCACGTCCGGTGCGCTGCAGGGACTGGACTGCGGGCGACTCCTCAGTCTCCCGGAAGCGGCTGCGCCAGCCTCTCCCCGCCCCGCGGGGGCGTGGCCTCATGAATAATGAATCGCCGGGGGCGGGGCCGGCCCGCCCCCTCGGCGGGAAGGGGGAAGCGCCGAGGCGGCCTGACTGGAATGAGGGTGGCCGCGGCGGGAGCGGGGCCGGCCATGGCGGTGTGGACGCGCGCCACCAAAGCGGGGCTGGTCGAGCTGCTGCTGCGGGAGCGCTGGGTCCGGGTGGTGGCCGAGCTGAGCGGCGAGAGCCTGAGCCTGACGGGCGACGCGGCGGCGGCCGACCCCGAGCCGGCGCTGGGGCCGGCGGCCGCCGCCTTCAACGGCCTCCCGAACGGCGGCGGCGCGGGCGACTCGCTGCCCGGCAGCCCGAGCCGCGGCCTGGGCCCCCCGAGCCCGCCGGCGCCGCCGCGGGGCGCGACGGGCGAGGCGGGCGCGTCACCGCCGGTGCGCCGGGTGCGGGTGGTGAAGCAGGAGGCGGGCGGCCTGGGCATCAGCATCAAGGGCGGCCGCGAGAACCGGATGCCGATCCTCATCTCCAAGATCTTCCCGGGGCTGGCGGCCGACCAGAGCCGCGCGCTGCGGCTGGGCGACGCCATCCTGTCGGTGAACGGCACCGACCTGCGCCAGGCCACCCACGACCAGGCCGTGCAGGCGCTGAAGCGCGCGGGCAAGGAGGTGCTGCTGGAGGGTGAGCGGGGCCGGCGCGCGGGCGGGCGGGCGCGGGCGGGCGCGGGCGGGCGCGGGGCTCACTTTGTTCTGCGCCCTCGGCCGGGCGAGCCCGCTCCCTCCCCCCGGAGCCCGCGCCTTCGCCTCGGCTGGCGTCCCGGCTCTCCAGACCCGGGGGTGCCGGGGCTCCGAGTGTGGAAAAAGTGATGCTCCGTGCAGGAAAAGTTGGGCAGCCGCGAGAAAGTGTGGCCAAGGGAGACTCGATTGGGATTTAGTCAAAAGCAGCGGCCCCGAGAGCCCCGCCTCTCTCTGCACGGGGAGCTGACACTGAGGGCTCGAGGGAGACCGTGCGGCTGGAGTTGTGGAGAGCTGGGTTTGCCCTCGGAGAACACCGGCTGGGCTCTTTCTTCCCTCACCTCTGGCTCCCCGGGCGGGCGGGTCTATTAAAAAAAATATATATATATATATTTTTTAAATCCAACTACACCGATGCCAGCGGTATGCTTGGGCAAACCACCAAAGCGCTGGGTAATTTATGGGAATTTAACCCATCGTTGGCTCTCAACAATAACCGAAGGAGATCTTAGCCCTCCAGTGAAGCCAGAAAGCTGAAACAGCAAGTTTGTGGAGTTAATGAGCCTTGTTTAACAGTGGAGGCTCACGTGTTTTGAACATTTACTGCCAACTAGAGTTTTGCCCCTTTTGCAAGAGGCTGGTGCCAGGTTCCTCCTCCTCCTCTCACTGGCGCGCAACTTCCAGGCTCTTAAGGCATTTTGGAAGAAACCTGAAATGTGAAATCTCAAGAATAGCCAGACTTACTGCTTGTTCTTTTAGGATGAATTTTGTAGGACCAAGTCAAAATTCAGTCTCCTCTCGAAAGATCCTTTCGTGTTGGGAGTGGGAGAGTATTGTAAGTGTGATCTGAAGTCAGTTTGCTTCAGAAATTTTTGAGCGATGAACTTTCTTTCTGGTGATTCAGGCATTCGGGAAGCATTTGTGGCTTAGAAGAGAATATAAAAGAAGATGTGTTTCTATTTGGGGAAAGGATTGAAAAATACAAACAACTTACAAGTTCTTGATTGTGCAGTGCAAGCTCTTTGTGAATGCCAAGGGACTGTAAAGTTGGGAAGTAGTAATGGAGCTGGTGTGAGTTGGGGAGAGGGGGTTTTTTCAAGGAGTTGAATCTTGAGCCAGGTCTCCAAGGAAGTAATGGACAGGCAGAGATGAGTCAGGAGGGTATTCCTGGCAGAATAATAACCTAAAGGAAAGGGTGGGGGTGGGGAGTAGGGGGTAGGATAGGCCAGAGTACTACTTGGCAAAATGATTTTCACTTTTTTTTTTTTCAAACCTGCTTGTAAGTAATTGGAAAAAAAAAGTTAGTTTGCAAGTAAATGGTTTAATGTGCTCCAATTGTAAAATTCCAGTGCCCCATCTTTATAATATCCTATTTATAAATCCTATTTATATCTCAAAGGTAGGGCTAGACGCTTCAAAAATTAGTGTTAGTAAAAGGAGTAAAATTATAGATTGTGGTTAAGTGGTGCATATGTTTAAGAAATGTTACCTTAGGGCCTCCCTGGTGGTGCAGCAGGGTTGAACACTGCGCCATGAAGCTGTGCACAGCCTCTTCAGGGCGGGTTCAATTCCTGGCCAGCCAGGGAGAAACCCACATGGCGCAGCAGACCTTTCCTGCCTCACCCACTGCTCCCCTTAGCAGTGTCTTTGGTCAATCTGCCTGTTCTGCTCCCGGCTCTCTGGTGAATCCTCTCACCCTCCTGCGCTTCTGGCCTGTATCCCAGCTCTTGTATAAATTAAAAAAAAATCTTAAAAAAAAGTTACCTTAAATATGTATTTTGAAATGGTCTAGCTAAGTATTTGGTTATAAATTCTTAGAATCAGAATAATGTATGTAGTACTATTTATGTAGTATTCACTGGCGAAGCACAGGCAATTCAACTCTAAATATCTTTTTTTTTTTAATAGAGGCATGTTTTTTAATTAATTAATTAATTAATTTGTTTGTTTGTTTTGTTTATACAAGCACTGGGTACAGTCAGAAGCGCGGGAGGGTGAGAGAATTCACCAGAGCCAGAGCGGGGAGCAGAGCAGGCAGAAGGACCGAAGTACACTGCTGAGGGGAGCAGCGGGCGGCAGGAGAGGTCTGCGTGCCATGTGGGACCCTCCTCAGGTGGCCGGGGAGCAGCCGGGGATTGAACCGGCGCCGCAGAGGTCGCCGGCAGCTTCGCAACCCAGCACTCAACCGCTGCGCCACCGGGGAGGCCCTAAATATCTTTTTTTTTAAAACCCAGGTTTTGTTTAGCTGTAAGTTGAACCTGGTATTCATATTGATTAAATGAAAATCACCTAGTAAATGCTTCCCAATAGTCACTAGTTTAAAATAGGCTACCTGTGCTTTTAAAAGCGAGTTTACAAATGGCAGCATAGCAACATTTCTTGAATGTCTTTTTACCTGACACAGGCAGAGATGAGTCATGTTCCCATTTAGTAAAAGACGAGTTTTGTCCTTACATGGGTGGGGAAATATGTAATAGCACTTCCCAGGCAAAGGATATAAAAATAAAATACTTAGAATATGCAAAAATCACTAAAAACTAATTGAACTGGTAAAACATTATTTAAATTCTAGAGCTGATGTCCCATCCAGGTAGGCCCCCCTTTTTGTTTCTTTAAAAATATTTTTGTTGTTTCAACTGCTGAAGATAGGCTGCTTGACAGTGCTGAGCCCTTAATATTTTGGAACTGTATTGTCCTTTCATTAGGTGTCTCCAAACTTGGAAAAATGGTCTTAACATAGCACAGTAATGCTCTTCTGTGGTGTAGGCAGGGAATTTCAGGCATGCTCTTGCCACCCCCAAGGAAAGAAAAGTTGTAGTCTCTGGTTGTCTGTGGCTAAGGGAATCCTTTTTATCTCAGGGATTTGGAGGGATTATTCATTCCTTTTTCAAATGTTTATTTAACTCTACCATGTGCCAGAGCCACTCGAAGATACCAGATCCCTGTCTTCAGGAAGTTTAGAGTTGAAATAAAAGGGAAAGATAAAGTAGGAAGTACACTGCAAAAGGTTAAAGGCACTTTTATTATAGAACCCTAGAGAGGGCATAGCATAAAGAAGGGAGAGGTCCGTTGTGGTCAGAGGTTGAAGATGCTCAGGAAAAGGTTGATGGAGAAGTTGAAGCTTGAATTGAGCCTTCCCCTATGAAGACCAGGCTGTCCTAAGTGAAGAAGAGCAAATGAAAGGCACTCAGTTATTCTCCCCAGTGAAGGTATGAGGACTTTGTGGTCAGACATGAGGTTTGTTTCTGGCTAGTGTTTTGTAAACCTAGGCAAATTAATTACTCAACCTTGCTAAGCCTTAGTTTCCTCATCCTTAACACCAGGAGAGTGATACTATCTCCCTTAAAGGTTAGTTTTTCATCTGACAGTTTATATGCTGAGTGCTTTTTTAAGGACTAGAAATAAAGTAGTGAATAGCAACCTCCCCTGGCTCAAATAGAATATGAATTAGGAAGGTAGAACTGGATCATGAAGGTATGCCATAAATTAACAAAGGCACTCTCAAAATATTGATATTTAGGATAATAAAGTGTTAAAATCCAAGGTTCCATCTTACTTGAAAAGAAATACATGCTTAAAAAAATTGTTTTGGGTGAATAAGAATGATTACATTTCTTAGATGCAAATTCCCTTTTCTAATCCTGTTTTCCTGTTTTTATCATCTTTTGCCTAGGTCAACTTTTTCATTCCTTAATTTTATTTCGTTTGCCATCCCTTTGATTTTTCCTCTTTTCACTTAGTACTCAAAACCATAACATTCGTCTTTAACTGTCTGGTTATAGTTTTGTCCAGTGGCTATTATAATTGATACTAAGATGCAAAATAGATAGCCTTTTTATTAGCAATACAGATTGTAAGCATGAAGGGACAACTACTAACTTATCAAATATTTATGCTGAATTTATTGTGTCTTGTGTGCTAGAAATAGGGTCTACCCAGAGAGCATCTAAAATTTCTATGTGTAGAGTTATGAGATTGACTGTTTCAACAAACATGAATAGACTACACATCATAAGGCATTCCAGAGAAAGTTAGGGAAAATAGTAAAAAGTGTCCAGTTTAAGATTGGATATTTGAGAATAGATTAATATTTTTGAAGCAAATCTCTTTGGAATATTGTTTGAAAATCATCTTTTATTACCTAAATATGATTCTAAGAATATTGCTTTTTTAACCTACTGGGGAAAAAAAATGTGTCACAATGACGGAAAGTGGACTGGCATGAAATTTAATTGAAAAAAAATTTAGTATTTAGATCATTTTGAGATTTTGAGTGTCATATACAATATGGCTCTTTTTGTGTATGTTAGGGGACATGTGGTAAATACCACTGACATTATTAGACTGCTAAGTTAAAGAAGCTAGTTTGGATCCCTACATTTCTGCTGTCTTCATCGTTTGTTGGATAATTTGAGAGTGTTCCGCAGAAAACGTTTTATATTTTCTTTGAAAGAGCTTGTATTTTCATTAATCTAGCTTAAAAAACCAACTACATTACCAGGACATTTTGTGATTCTGTTTCTTTGTTTCACTTGAATGATTACATATGTTTATATGAGAAGCTAGGTCTTTGTAACCATATTATTTTTATTATATCCCCTTCGTGCTAAAATGTGCCCTCCAAATGATTATCAAAATATGACACATTTATTGATTCTAATACAGCCTGGGTATGAAAATGGTAAGAACATATTTCGAAGCCATATCCAGGCTTTAATTTAGATCTCAAGTGATAACTCAGTAACTTCCACTGATATGTTCCCTGCTGTGTAGTTCTTCCAGGATAAAGGTTACTGTACTTTGTGTCTTTGTACATAAAAGATGAGGCATAGCCTGTGGCCATGGAACAGTGTCCTGCTGTTCTGAGCTGATTGTTCAAGGATCTAATCAGTGTCCTTGGCCCAGTGTCCTAGCTCACTATCCTAACAAATGAGACCATTACAAGAG